AGCCTGAGAAGCCCTCTTTCTGTTACTAACTTCTGCTCTATCTTGTGGCACTCAGGACAAGGGTCTTTATAATCTCCTGTGCCTCTGTAGTGTGGGACCAGGTAGCAGTAAAGCCAGAAGGTAGGCAGTGCACCGGGCGGGGGGAACGACACGGGACTGAGCATTGGAGGCCTGCCATGAGCGTGGCCCGGGACTGCCGCAGGAACCCCAAGCTGCTTGCCTTGTCTTACCGGGCCTGGTCGCTGGTTGCCAGCTTTGAGAGCATCGGGTGGGGCTGGGGTACTTTTTATAAATGGATTCAAACTTGTATGTGCATTTTTTAGTCACTGGCATCCTTACCAAAAGTGCTCAGTACATATCCATGCTGTAACATGTATCAATACTTCCACATTATGGCTGAATCATATTTTTATATGAATATGTCACATTTTGTTTATCTCTTCACCAGCTGATAGACATTTGGGTTGTTTCTACTGTTTGACTCTTAAGGGTATGCTGCTATAAAAAATCTATGTGTAAGTTTTTGTGTGAATACATTTTCAATTTCTCTTGGTATATACCTAGGAGTTAAATTGTTGGGTCAAATGATAAGTCTACATGCGAAATTTTTGAAGAGCTACAAGACTATTTTCAAAGAGTCTACATCATTTTACACTCCTTGCAGCAGGGATTGAGCATACTGATCTCTCCATATTCTTCCCAACACTTATTATTTTAGATGTTTTTATGCTACTGAGTGTAGAATAGCATCTCATTGTAGTTTTGATTTGTACTTGACAATGATGTGCTTTTCATGTCTTATTGGCCATTTGTTTATCTTGTTTGGAGAAATATCTGTTCAGGTCCTTTGCCTGTCTTTGGTTGGGTTATTTGGTTTTTTAATTGAGTTATATGAGTTCTTTATATATTACACATACAAGTCCCTTACCAAGTGATATGCACATAGTTTCTTTCATTCTTTGGATTGTTTTTTTCACTCTCTAGTATTTTTTAAAGGACAATTATTTTTATTTGGATGAAGTCCAGTTTATATATTCTTCTGTTACGTGTGCGTGCCTAAATTGTCATGTCAAAATTAAACTTATATTTACCACTAGGTTTTCTTTTATGAGTTTTGTAATTTTATATCATATGTTCAGGTATTTGATCTAATTTCCATTAACTTTTCATATTGGCTGAATTAAGGATCAACTTCATTCTTTAGCATGTAGCTATCTATTGCCCCAGCACCATTTGTTGCAAAGACCACTCCTTCCCCATTGAGCAATCTTGGCATCTTTGTCAAAAAAATCAATTGACCATGCAGTTGAAGGAATAGTAGTACATTTAGTTATCAGTAGCACTTTATTTTCTAGGAGGCTAAATTCTGTTCCATTGGTCTGTATGTCGGTCTTTATGGTAGTACTGCACTATTTTCACTACTTTGTTTCTTTGCAATAGTTTTAGTTTATGAAATTTCTATTTTGAAAATGCAAAATTATATGCCACTTTTACATTAAATTAACTGTCAAGTTATATATTCAATTTTTAAATCAAGCTCTACATCTAATAATAGAGAAAACTATTGAAATATTATTTCTAAATCACATTCGTAGGATTTACCTCTTTAAGAAAAATGTGGGTTTTTTTGACCTGCTACAATTTAATATGGATGTTTAAATCTTGCTTGTACTTCTAACTCAAGACAGTTCTCCGAGATTAACCATTGACATAGAAAAGTACAGAGGTTTAAAAGTGGAACCCGCATCTAAATATATCTGTAGTCAGGGGTTAGAAAGAAATTTGAGCTGACGTTTAATGAAAGGGTAGAGCAATGGC